AATTCTGGATCATCTAACAATTCTGATAAAGATCCTTTGAGCGAATCCTTAAAGGACAACGTACAGAACGATGTTAGAGAGGTAATTGGAGCCTGGTCAAAGCCAAAACCTATCAAGATTGATTTTAAAAATGAACAAGTTGAAATTTTAGAGGATGGTATTGCGGTGAAACCCAATCCAGTGGTTGAAGCCAAGAATTCAGAAGTGCTGAAGAATTCGATCGTTATTAAAGTGCTAGGAGGTAATGTCCCCTACTCAGTATGCTGTTTTGATCTGAGAAAACAATGGAACAAGTTTGGCGGATTTCACATGACCTCAATCGGTATGAATTGGATACTCTGCTCCTTCAAGACTAATGAGGCGGTTGATGAAGTTTTAAACGGTGGACCCTGGTATGTAAATGGGTACATAGTTGGTATGGATAGATGGTCTCCAACATTTGATCCATATTCATTTAAAGGAATCTCAGCTCCGGTATGGATCAGACTACCGTGCCTACCTCTGTATTATTGGGATGAAGACAGTCTTGCGAGAATTTCTTCTCGGATTGGCACACCGCTATACTTAGATGGAAATACTTTCCATTGGGGAAAGAGAGAGTTTGCTCGCATTTGTGTTAAGATTGATTTGGAAAAAAAGCTCCCAAATGGTGTCTAGATTGATGGTCTTGCTGGAAGATTCTTCCAAAGAGTCGAATATGAGAAATTGAATTTACTATGCTATCATTGTGGTCGAGCGGGACATGAATTAAATGCATGTCCTGAGAAGGTTGTGCTGGGTATTAAGAATCAAGCTATGGATAACTCTAAAGAAAGCACTGGTGAAGAAAGAAAAACAGAAGGAGGAATTAAAAATGCAGTGACTAATGAGGAGTATGGTCCCTGGATTCATGTCCAGTTTAAAAACAAACGGGTGTATAAAAATCTTGATGGAAACAGAAGTGACAATGCTATCAAGAATAAAGGGAAGGATAATCTGGGGAAGAACATTCAGATAGAAGGTTTGCAAGTGCAGAAATTACAGGTGAAAGAAATCTCTGCTAGAGAAGCCAATGCAGATAAAGAAATCAATGCAAACAAAGAAGCTAAATCAGAAAACTATAAAGAAGGAATAAGCTTGAATAATGCTTTTGAGATTCTTAATGAAGAGAATGAAATTGAAGGTCAAGACTTACAGGATGATGTTACTAATTTGCTGATTAAGAGGAAGGAAGGATTGAAAGATAATGCGGTGAATGATTGTAAATCCAACTTGGCAAGTTCTGTTAAAATAAAGTTGGCCAAGGAGCTGAGATCATTGGGCCCGGTTGATCAAGAAATTAAGAAGAAAAAGAGAGAAGGACGTATGGTGTCCACAAATTGGGTAAGTTCCCCTTCTGTTACTTAAATGTCTTCCCTTCTATTTTGGAATTGCAGAGGAGCTAGAAAGAGGGAAGCTGCTCTGTATTTGAAAGAAGTGGTTAAAGATTAGGATATTTTTTTTCATTGGCATTATGGAAACTAAGATAAGTAATATCAATAGGATGGATGTTGATGTTCTTATCGATAAAGAATGGGATTTCTATCATTTCCCTTTGGTTGGACTCTCTGGTGGCATTTTAGTCTTATGGAATTCGAAGATTGGGAACTTTGTGATTACTGAGACTTCTTCTCAGGCGATTGTTGGAGACTTATTTATCCCTAGATTGGGATTTTGGAGAATTGCTACCGTATATGGTAGTAGATGCTGTAAGGAGCGGGAAACTTTATGGAGCTTGCTGGATAAATGTATGGTAAGGTCAATTCCTTCCATCGTTGGCGGAGACTTCAATTGTGTGCTTAACAAAGATGGAAAAAGAGGAGGCAAAAGGTTCCTTTTTACCAAAGGACCTAGAGACATGAAGAGCTTTATGACTAGTTGTGACTTTCATGATGTGGGTATTATTGGACCAAAATATACTTGGTGTAATAATAAAGGAGGGAATTCCAGGATTTGGGAGCAGCTTGACAGATGTTTATTGAATTCTACAGCCTTGAAATTACTTCCTACAGCTGCCACTAGGCATCTTGCTAGGGTGGCTTCGGATCACAGTCCTATTACCTTCAAGGTTAATGATAAGGAACATGCAAAGTCTAAAATCATAAGGTTTGAAGATACTTGGAGAATGTATCCAGCGGCTAGAGGCATAGTTTATCATTCTTTGATGAGGAATGATCGTGGGGAGGAAGGCTTGGTTCTTCAAAAGAAGATTAACAGAACTTTAAAAGCTCTATTTTTTTGGAGTAGGAGCAAATGCAAAGACTTAAATGATCTTAAGGAAAAGTTGAAGATGGAAATTCTGGAACTTCAAGCTAAAGAAGCTTGGGGTATTGATTGGACATCTCAAGACTTGCTTTTACTTAGAAGCAAAATTCATGGTCTTAATGTAACCTTGAAGAGATTATCTACTTGGTGGAATCAAAGGGACAAAGCTAGGTGGCTTGAGGAAGGGGATTTTAATTCCAAGCTTTTTTCACAATTTTGCAACGGTTAGAAGGAATGTAATAGAATAAATCAAATTAAAGATGCCCATAACAAGATGCAAATTGAAGAAGAATAAATTGAAAAGGTCCTTATTCATTATTTTGAATCTAAGTGGAAGAAGAGAAATTGTCCACTTTCAGGTTGGCCGCAGATTTTTTATCATCAGAAGATTAATAATGAGGATATTCAGGCTCTTAACTCAGCAATTTCGGTGATGGAGCTCAAGAACTCTGTTTTCCATCAAGGTAACAACCGTTCCCCAGGTATGGATGGTCTCACTTCCTCCTTCTATAAGCATTATTGGGATATTGTGTGGAAAGACTTATGGAATGCTGTCAATAGTTTCTTTACCAATGGGTGTATGAGGAAAGAGTGGAAAGACACTCTTATTGTTTTGATTGCAAAAGTTAAAAATCTATGCTTCCATCCAATTATCGCCCTATTAGCTTATGCCAGACAAACTACAAGATTTTTGTTACTATGATTGTCAATAGATTGAAGACGTGTATATCCAAGCTGATTACTGAGGAGCAAATGGCATTTATTCCTGGGAGATCTATTTCTTAGCATTGTCTCTTGGCTCAGGAGATTATACATAAGTTTAAGATTTCCAAGAATAGAAAGGGAATGACGGCTTTGAAGCTTGATATGGAGCAAGCTTATGATAGCATGGGATGGCCTACTCTTGATAATGTCCTCAAATGGTATGGTTTTCCTACTGGTTATGCTAAACTCATTATGGAGTGTATTACTGATGTTATATTCTCTATTATTATTAATGGGAGAAATTCTAAATGGATTATGGCTTATAGTGGTTTTCGTCAAGGGTGTCCATTATCCCCTTATCTTTACATATTGTGCTCTCAATTGCTTTCCAATTCCATTCATGAAAGGGGTAGTAATATTGGAATTCAAATTTCTTCAAGGGGTCCTAAAATTACTCATCTCTTATATGCTGATGACGTTATTATTTTTTCACAATGCTCAAAAGATATTGCTAAGGAGGTGAAGCGTATTGTTGATGACTTTTGTAGTTGGACTGGACAAAGGGTCAATGATAGTAAATCTCAAATCATGTTCGGTAATGTTGTTGGCAATCAGATGAGGAAAAAGATTACTAAAGTCTTGAACTTCAAAAATGTCAAGGAGATGAATTATCTTGGGATCAAACTTTCTCTTAATCGGTTAAGGGCTGCAGATTTTCATGACATCTTAACCAATATGATGGACAGGCTTAATACTTGGGGAAAGAAATTTCTTTCTTTAGGTGGTAAGGTTACTCTTACCACTAGCTCTCTTTTGACAATGCCTAACTACTTGATTACTCACTCCATGATCACTAAGAAGGTGCTGCTCACTATGGAAAAACTTTGTAGAAGTTTTATATGGGATAAGCATGATGGTAGTCATGGTATTCATTACATTGCTTGGGAAGATCTTTGTAAACCAAAAAATATGGGAGGCTTGGGTTTACAATCACCAACTTTGAAGACTGGACCGTTAAGAGCTAATCTTTCTTGGAATTTTTTACAAAAACCAGATACTTTGTTTCATAGAGTTATGAGAGCTAAATATGGTAATAATATCTTGAATGGCACCCATAAGAAGAGCACTTCTAAAGCTTGGAGAATCTTACTGGATGGTGGAAAATCTCTTAAAAACATTACTAGATGGAATATTGGTAATGGCAAAGATATCAATGTATTGAATGATAGCTGGATCTATGACAAAAGTATCAACCAATGGCTGACTTTTGCTGATTGTTCTGCCTTGGAAGGACTTTGTGTTCAACACTTAATGTTGGATAATGGCCAATGGAATTCTAATTTGCTTCAGAATTGGTTTCATCCGGAACTTGTGAAAGTTATCAGCAATATTCAGATTAATTCCAGCAATGTTGATATGCTGGAAATGCAGAATTTCTGTCCTGGAAGAACTATTTCTGGATTGGCTTTTGAAAAAGTTTTGAGAAGAAAATTCAATTTAACTGATGATGGCTATTATAATTGGCTCAAAAAGCTGAAGCTGAGCAAGAAGGTGGAAATGTTTTGGTGGAGACTTGGGAATGCATCTATTCCTACCAACTTATATCTTAAAAATCGTAAGCTTGATATCGATTCATGTGCTAGAGGTTGTAATACGGTGGAGAACTATGAGCACATCATTATTCAATGCAAATATATGGTTGAAATCATCAATCAGCTTGTGAACTAGGGTATTCCTATCCCAATTTTCAATTCCCTTGATCATTGTCTTAAGGAGCTTAAGAAAATTTCAGCTAAAAATCTTGGTATTGTACAAATTTATTGTACTACTGCTTACTTCTCTTGGAAAAATAGAAATGAGATAAAGCATTGAAAAATTGCACTCCTTCTTATTTGGTGGCTTCTAACGCTTTATCAGTGGCAATTACCAAAACAAGTCCATTTCTTTCTAACTGGAGCACTAATCTCCTTAGGGAGTCTCAAGCATCTTGGTGCCCCATACCGAAAGAGTGGATGAAAATCAATATTGAAGCTTCCTTAACGTCTTCGGGATTAGCTGGGATTGGAGGTGTTTTTCGAGATTGTAATGGTAGATTCATTCTTGCATTTGGGAAGAAGAAGATGCATTGGGATATTGCAAAGCTGGAAATGGGAGCTATTCTCTCGGTCAAGGACTACGTCAAAAGCTGGATGAGAGACTATAAAGGGGTGATATTGGAAAGTGATAACATGAATGTTATCAACTACATTCAAAAATCTTTGAAGCAGAATAAAGGTACCGTGATCTTCAAATTAGTAAGTGATTCTTTATTTGTGAATGATTTCAATAAAGTTGTCTTTGTACATGCTTATAGAGATTGTAATAAGGTAGCCAACTTGTGTGCTACTATGGCTTTAGATGACAGTTTTTACTTTGACAGTTTTTCTTTTAATGATATCCCTCCCTTGATGGCTAATTTAATCAAGGAAGAATATCATCCTATTCAAGATTGTAACTAGTTCTTTACTTTTTTCTACTTAATGCATTCTGCATTTCTTCAAAAAAAAAAAAAAAAAAACCGGGCCCAACCAATTATCTTGCAAGAAAGAAACATTTCCTTCTCCCAAACACCATTGAATAAATTGCTCCGCCTGCCATTTGATATGGCAAAGCCTTTTCCAAATCAAAGATTTAGAGCTTTTATAACTACAAACCATGGGATGATGCTCTTTGCAATATCTAACATTCATAAATTGAGCCCACAAATTGAAGTTAGAAAGAAAAAAAAAATCATAATTTATGAGAAAATTCCTGAACAATTTCTAACATATTCTTCTAAGCTAAACCCCCTTCATTAAGAACCCCATAAACATTCTTCCACGAAGCCTAGTAAATGCAAGAACTATTATACTTTGAACCTCAAAAGAACTTATTAAGCAATTTCTCCAATATAAGGCAAATTAATAAGGTGGATTGCAAAGTATGAAGAATAAAAATAGGAATAAAATTCAACACTTTTTTAATCAGCACAAGCCTACCACCAAAAGAAAGAAAATTAGAATACCAATTCAAAAGTTTCATTTGAAAAGCAATGATAACATCATCAAAAAGTTGAGTCCTTTTTCTACCTTTGAATAGAGGAGTACCCAAATACTTTATAGGCAATAAATTATAATTAAAGCCACAAACCCTTTTGATAGCACTAATTCTTTCACGATTAACCAACTTAGCCACAATAAAACTACTTTTTTCCTTATTGATAGCCAAACCACTTATTTTTTAAAACATACAAAGAAATTTGACTAAAAATTTAATATTATTAATAAAGTCATTCAAAGAAATAATAAAATCATCAACGATCGACAAACTGTTAAGATAGTTGCTATTTGCATGTTTTACACTTTTGCAACTTGTATAGTTTTGATGATTCCAAACATTATTATTCAAATGTGTAGTTATCTCCTAACAATTTTAGAAGATTTGTATTTGCTATTGTGTGTACTAACATTTTAGAAAAATCGAACTCCAGACTACGAAGACTTCAAATCAAATTCAGCATGAGATACTTTGTGAATTTGAAACTTGTACTTTTCTTTGAAATAAAATTGAAATGGAGTGATTGTAATTGAGTGAATAAATATATACACAAAAATATAAGGAGATCATATAAAACTTATACTGATCGTACGGGACGATATCAGTTCGTACGGGACGATCAGATAGTTATCTCCTATTGAGCACATGGAACGAATAGGAACTGGCTTAAAAAATTTTTCTAAGTCCTATTCATCTAGGACGAAATTAAAAATCATCCGGGATGATTTGTTCTCTGTAAGATTTTTGTCTAGAAGAAATTAAATTATTGTACATGACGATTTGCTCTCTGTAAAATTTTCGTCCAAACGAAATTAAATATCGTCCAGGACGATCTGGTCTCTATAAGATTTTCATCCAGACGAAATTAAATTATCGTACTTAACGATTTGCTCTCTGTAAAATTTTCGTCCAGACGAATTTAAAAATCGTCCAGGATGACCTGTTCTCTGTAAAATTTTCGTCCAGACGAATAAC